CTGGAGAATAAAAACAGCAGCATAGAATATGTATGAATTTGAATATTATTTAAATAAGTTGTCCAGAAAACTTATTTCCTAAGTTCATTATTTTGCTTGTGGAAATAGGATTGTATACAAATATCAGATAATATCTTAACTTGATAAGATGCTTAATTCGATAAGCAAAAGATTAAAAATACACACGTCTCATGTGTCCCAAAAAAGAAGACCTGGTATTTGTTAGAAGGTGACTTCACTGCTCCCTCGGGTAATTCATCAATCTGTAAAAAAAAGAAAACAATAGTTAAAAATAAATAAATCTAAAACATCTTACATTTAGAACTGGATGCTGTCACTGTTACTAACATTTACTTTATCTAAATTCAACAATATTTAAAAAATTAGTTAGTAGTTAGAACAACAATTGAACCTAATGAAACATTCAACAATTATAAATAAAAAAGTTGTAGTGAAAAGGAGAAATTATACATATTAACTAAAGCTAAAAAGCATTAAAAACACTTGATATGTTGATCATTAGTTTTGGTAATTTAATAAATACCTTGTTGACAAAAATGATCACTATCATTTTTTTTAAAGAGCAGTAGTATAATCCGAATAGATTTGTCCAGTCCAGAAGGCAGTTATAGATAACAGACTCTGCCCTCTTGTGCGGTGTTAAGGTAACACACTCGCAGCTGGAAAATATCGTTTGACTATGATTACCCACAAGTCTGCAAGCATTTATTTGTGTGGTTAAAAAAAAGACACCACAGCACAGGAAAGCCTTATTATGACGACCAAGCATGACATCCGTTCTTCTCTTCAACACAGTTCTTTTGGCCTTTTCCAGATAGGGTAACTGTGTGAGGAGGTTAGGTGGGGCACAAACTGTAGCCTGAGATAGGGCAAGGCTGACAATACTGGAGGAAAAAGTCAGTAGTATAAAGTGTAATTTTTAATTTCTGGAATTTTTAAAATCTGGACTAATTATCAAAAGCAGCTCCAAAGTCTGGCACAGAAACGGCTTTATATTGCCTCTGACTCAAATGTTTATTATTTATGTCCCAGTTGGTCCTCCAATCATAATCAACGAATCATATAGGCAGTCCTTTAATGCATCTCCAGAGGTTTGCAGCAGCCATCGCTCCCTCCTATAACTAGTGATGCTTTAATAGCCCAGTGAAACAGAATGGACCAATTTACCTACTGTGCAATTTGTTCACTGCTGCAGAATGTAGGTAATTCAAGTGCTTTCTGTATATCCAGCATAGAATTATGTGAATGTTCGACCTCGACACACTTTAACGTCCACAAAGAGAAGTCAAACACACCTGGGAACTAAAAGTAATGGAATTGTTATAAAAATATAAATAAAATAAACTTTGTCACCTATCACAACAAACAAGCACAGGCATGTGTGTTTACAGAGTAGACCACTGCACGTGGTTATAGACCGAGGTGCAATAGATAAAACACATATTTAGCGCTTCACAACAAGGCTTCAAGCCATAAGTACAGTTATTAGCTCCGATAGTTATGTGACATCTGTTAGTCCAAAGAATGAAGCCCATACAGATTTTACATCTGGTTTCCAAAAATATATATTTTCAGAATTCCTAGATTTACGCTAAAAGTCCAAATGCAGTGTAAGAAGTCATAACTCAAGTCAAAATGTAATTTTTCTTTCGGATCAAATGGTGAGGAAATGTTCAACAGCAAGAAATAAGTTTGAATCAAGAGATTAAACCGGGAACCATTTAATTGAAGTTGAAATTCAAAGAATCGAACCGTTTTCAAATATTCCTGTTAATGTGGGATAAAAGGCAAATCCCAGAGAAAGGCAACACAGTTTAAATTCTCAAGTTATAATTTCAACTGCCTTCATAAATGAAATGTAAAAAAAAAAAAACGAAATTGGTTCGTGTTTCCATGTGGTCGTAATCCTCTTCTCAACTAACAGGCCCCTGGGAAACCAAACAGGCGCACGAAAACCAATGTTTATGTAGAAACAGTAGTTAGCAATTGGAAGCATATGTAGTTAGCCGTGTGTGCTAACGTTGGGCATGTATTTGTAATGATTCATTTGAAAAATGTGTGTAACCGTCTACAGCAACACACCGAATGAGTGCGCTGTTGCTGCTGTTAATGCTGTTTAAAATTAGCTCGAGCTAACGCGGTGAAGCTAGGCTAACTGGTGCTAACTAACTGCCTTAGGCCTCGCAGGTAAAACAGAAAACTGAGCAGCGACAGCAGCGGTTCTCACTAAAATGAAGCTGAAAAAAGGGACATGACAGTAATGGAAGTGCTTACCCTGGCAGGCCAGTGAGGATAACCCTTCATTTTAGCAAACACGAGGTCTCCAGGTTTGTATTCCCTTTGCCTGTTGGTTCTCGGCATTTTTTCTTGCAGAAATGCTTCGCTGTGTCAGATTAACAGTGGGAATAAACACGGTAATAGTTTTAATCACCTGTTACAAACACGATTGGGATCCTTTTGTCGGACAAATCCAGAATTATAAAACTGAAGCGCAGACGCAACAAGCGACTTTATCCGTGGGTTTGAAAAGATCGATATCAACAGCGCTTGGATGGACGTTTGAATAACGTCCCACCACTTAATCCCGCCGTACACTGGTCCTTCCCTCTCTCTGTTTGGGTTTGAGCTTTGAAATTGAAACCTGCTTCCCTCTATCGACGCGACACCAGCACCTGATGGATTGGAACAATCACAGTCAGCGCCCCCTAGCGTTGTGTTAAGGATGCTTTCTGTAATTGGAGAAATCCTCGGTCAAAAAACCCCCGCCAGTGCTTGTTGTGGCACTTGGACAGCTTTTATGTGGCCCGTGACTTACTTTTTTATTCCTACATTTTGAAAGACATTTTTTAAAGATTTTTGAAAAGGGAACTTCAAGAACTGTAAATTTAGTTTGCAAAGCTTTAAGCTATATCCCAGCTTTCTTATTTTTTTGGTTAGAAATGCTATTTTAATTCTTCAATAACACTGTAGCAAAAGTAGTAAACATTGTTGTCTGGACTCATTCTTCAATAACACTGTAGCAAAAGTAATAAACATTGTTGTCTGGACTCCTTTTCTTGAGTTCGAAAGGTCAAAGAATGAAACAGAAAATGTACTTTGAAATATTAATTAAAATATTTTAAAGATTTATATTCGGACGTCATTTAATGGGGTTGTTATGTAGCTTTTTCTTATAGTATCTTTTGAAATTTGTATTAGTGTTTATGCACCCGCGGTCCACTAGGAGGCGGTAACAAGTGTAACAACTGTAATGGATTTAGTCGAAGAAGAATGTGCAGCGCAGAAACGTGCGCAATAGGTGACTTTTCTGGCATGAATGATGGAGGCGAACTGTTTTGATGTAGTCTAGGGGCCAACAGACATTTATGTTGGGTCAATACTCTTGTGTGGTCGACGTTTGCTGGTATTCAAAATATCCGCTGCATTTACAGAGAGTTGCAGGCTTGTTTAATCGGATAAACACAGAAGTATTAGCCTAGCCTTTTTTCGTGTACTTGACGGCCTCGCTAACATTCAGCTAATAGCGTAAAGTTAAGTCATTCCATAGATTTTTGTGTATTTACATCCCCTGAAATCAGCATTTTTCGGATTGTATCTGTTTAAAGGTTTTCTCACCTCTATTCGACGTCATCGGACATCCACTGGAAAATTACTATCCATGTCCACGATTTTCAACGGACTAGCAGTAACTAAAACCATCCGTAAACAAAATGTCTTTAGTCGCTTATGCCAGCAGTGATGACAGTGATTCAGAAGAGACCTCGACCACACCTGCACCACCGAGTAAGTTCAGCTCAACAGGACTCTTCTCACTCCTGCCCGCTCCCAAAAAGAGCGCATCTGCACCTAGACACGATAATGGACCAAACACAGAGATAAGAATGAACCTGGCAACAGCGGCTTCCGTGTCAAATGACGAGCTAGAAGCACCAAAAAGAGGCTTCTTCTCCAGCCTACCCAAGCCCAAAAAGAGAACAGAACCAGTCAAGATCACTGTGCCACAGATACAGAGGCGAGATGTGAGTCTGTGTGCATGTTTGATTCTGATTAGGGCCCCAGTGTTCTGTAGCATTCATAATCATTTTTTTCTTTGTCTATAGTCAGATTCTGATGATGATGACGTACCAGCAAAGAAGAAACTGCAAAGTCAGGTAAACCAAACTTAAGTGTGAAGCAAAAAGTGCCAATTCCTGATTCCTGAATTGTCAAAACACGTGTCAAAATAAACAATGCAAGTCTAAACCTTTTTTCTGTCATTCATCATGATCTGTTCCTACCAATACTTTCGATTTATACAACAGAAATGCTGCTTTAATTCACAAACTCTATTTTAGAATATTTGTATATATTTTTAAATTGTCAAGGAAACATGTGGAAGATGTTTGTCAATGTTTGGACACACACAATGTTCTCTAAATGTATTTCCTGTCCTCCAGGGCTCAGGTCTTTCTGCTCTCCTGCCACAACCTAAAAACCTGACAGTAAAAGAGATCGACAGACCACTGATTCCTCATGCACTCACCAAACGGCAAGAACCCAAAAAGCCTGCTACATCCGCTCAGGGTCAGCAAGGATCGAGTGCGTCTCCCTCAGCTATCAAAGCTGCGGCAAAGTCGGCAGCCCTGCAGCTGGCCAGACAAATAGCTGCTGACGACCAGGATAATGAAGACATGACTCCACAGAACTACTTCTCTTTAGGGGAGAGCTCGCCGCCTCTTCCTGCAGCTGTACCAACTCTGGATCCTCAGCCATTAGCCCCTGTAGAGCCTGTTCCCAGCTCTGCTCCAACATTGGCTGGTCAGTCAGATGCCCCACTTGACTTTGGGTGCAACCAAGAGGGAGCTGATATGTGGGGCAACCAATATCCTTCATATCAGCAGCCAATGGCAGGTCCAGAGGGTTGCCCTGAGGTAAGTATAACTCTCAAATAGCTCATAATCCCCCCAAGACCAGAATGCAGATATTTTTACTTATGGATCTTTCTACATATGTACAGCTACAGCTCATTTAAGACATGTATCTGTCCTGTGCAGGGTTACTATAATGAGGGGTATTTCCAAGATCCCAGCCTGCCATCAACAGATGAGTCTGAAGATCCAGGTCCCTCAGCCATGTTTGATGAAGAAGGAGTAAGAAATACGTTTGGGTTTTTTTCTTCTTTCATGTACTTTAGTTGTCTTACAAATTTACATTTTCCCTTTGTTTGCGTAAAATTCCAGTCTGTTCAGTTTGAACCAAACATGATTGGCTACAAATCTATTTTTAGTTCATGCGGCTGCAAGGGAAAAGAAACAGAGGCAAAGAAGAAGTGAAGTTTCTGGAGATCAAGGGAGATGACCAGCTGAGTGGTAATCAGCAATGGATGACCAAGAACTTATCAGAGGAGAAGCAGACCCGACAGTCCTTCAGCAAGGTAATTTAATCTGCCACAGCATCAATAAAACGTTTGTCTTGCAGTTGAATTCAAGTTAAATGTTTGTTTACTCCTCTGCAGAAAAGGGGAGGACAACCTACAGGACAACAGCGACGGAAGCACCAGATAACATATCTGATCCATCAGGTCAGTCCTGTTTCTGCCTGATCCTTTATGCTGTGATATCTAGCTTTATGAAATAAGCTGTGAATTACACCAGCTTCTCCAAAAGAAATGAAATATGTAATACATCTTTGACTCTTTTTTTTTTTTCCTTTCACAGGCCAAGGAACGGGAGCTGGAGCTGAAGAACAGCTGGGCAGAAAACAAGTTAAGCCGTCGGCAGACCCAGGCCAAATATGGTTTCTAAACATCTCTCTCTGGACCTATGGTCACGCGTGGAAACACTGGATCAGAAAGTGGAGATTGACACGTTTTCCCTTAAAATAAAAGGGAAATTGAATTTGTCCCGGGGGAAAAGATACAAAAAGTTCCCTCTCCTTACCCTCCATTATACATTTATGTTGAACAGTGATTTAACATAGTTGCTTTGCTCAACTGTTTGCTAAGATGTTATTCCCAACATTTAAACAAAAATTCTACTCTGATAGTAAATAACAGGAGAACTTGCTCACCTACTTTGTATAGTGTTGCTTCACCTCAGACATGTACAGACTATAGTATTTTAGGGTATACAGTGGGAGGAGCAGTGTGATGCTGAAAGGGTCGTAACAAATGCTTTGAATGTGTTTACTTCCTTCTATGAAAGGAGAACTCTGATTGACCTCAACATGAAGCCCTGTTGGTAGACTATCTTCTTCTGAATGAGCTGAAGTTGTCATCAACCATCACCACAACTCCCGCTATGTATGATCATGTGTGTTTACTTGTTCATTATGACCATCACGTCTCTGATCTCTGTTAACAGAGCTATACGTGTTGAAATCAACTGGAGTTCTCTGCTAATGTTTGATTGAGTTTTATTTTTGCAATGTCCTGTTAGATCACCCTTGTTTCTTTACTGTAATGTTGGTTATAATAAGAGTACCCTTGACATACATTCACACATACCTCATTGAAAGTTTTGTAATAATAAAAAACAATCATTTTATGCTCTTTCAAGACAACTAACTGTAGAGTTTTTCAAATCAATGAACTCTTTTCAGCCCTGTGATTAAAAACATGATGTTTTAGAGACAGGTTTTTTTCTAATAGTTGCAACATTAGTGAAGTGCTGTGTTGACTAAGGAAGGAACGTCACCATGCAGATGTTATTAGAAATTATATTGTCTATTTTCCCATAAATAGGACTGAAATGTTCAAAAGTGACATTGTGTTCCACTTAGAAAGATCTGAGCCTATATATGGGGATCATTCATTCTTAATGCATAATCACAATCAAATGACTGGGGTGATAGTTAGAGACTGTTCCTGCAGAGCTTGGGTGAAATCTGAAAATATTTAAAATCTAGTGACATGTTCCCTCTTTTTTCCCCCCATAGAGTCATTTATACAGAGTAAAACATAAAATTTGTTTTTTTTCCTACAGCTTTCCCATGCAATAAATTAGGATGGCTAGTCTCTTTTATCAGTTTATGTTTGATCCAGTGTTAGCTGATTCTGGGCTCAAGTTAGGGTTAAGTACTGTATCTGCTCGTGGCTCATCTACGGCCAGAACCTTTCAAATGGCTGAAGAACCTTGTTGTGAGAGGAAATGTCTCATCAGTTCAAAAATACTGGAAAAGACTTTTGTTTTATAGTTTTGTTATCAGTGTTGTGTAGTTTAAAATGATGAATAAAGCTTTTCCTTTTCTGCTTTTCGGCCACTGAAGAATTGTTTTTCCTGCTGTGTATGATGTGATTTAAAGAAACAAATTATTCAAACTTACAACAACTTTAGCTCATATTCCAAGAGGTAACGTACACTTTTATTTTGAATTATACCTAACAAAAACCCGAGCATCCTGTTCTACAAATTCTGATGTAATCCACAGATATTTTTGTACTACACCAGACATTTTTAGAATTAAACCGACAATTGTATTCTGACTGAAAATGTTTGTATTAGCAGTGAACACGGGGCACTAGAGGTTTCTGGACCTCAGTATTTGAAGTCCTTTAATGTTTCTTTTGGCCGTTACCTGGTGTCGCTGTATGGTCTTGTGTCGTCTGTGCCACTGGAGCTACTTTCTCAGCAGATGCAGAAACTTCACTCTCTGTGTCTTTACCAGTTTCAGTCTCTGTGGCTGCATCAGTAGCTGCTTTCAGACCAGTGGCGTCTGTATCATGATCATCAACAACAGTTTCTGAAATGTTTGCCTCTTCCTGCTCTTGCCTTTGTCTTTTTAACTTCTTTTGGTTACTGGCTGACTGGTCTTCATAGGGTAATACGGTCATAGGGACACGGACTGTGTCTATTCCATTCACCTAGAAGACAAAAATATGAAGCCTTGAGATAGAGGATATATATATATTTCATATAGAAGATATGAAAAAGAATAACACTCAAATGTAGATTTCTTTGGTTGGTTAACATGTAAAGTTTTGTCTTGTGAAAAGACAGTCTTCATGCTTGATTGAAAAAACAAAAAACAAAAAGACATGTCAAATGTGCTGGCTGCAAATAAATAGATAAAAAAAAATTCTTACCGTGACATCACACCAGTAGTCACCCAGTTCCTTGATAGGCTCAAATGGAAGACTCAGTGCATGGAGTGGAACAACAATCTGTAGCTAATATAAATAATTGAATAAATATAGTAAGTAAATAAAGCAGCACTTGTTACGGTATATTCATGCAGGGAGGCTGGCAGAAGTGACCAACCTTCTTTTGAAACTGTCGACACACAACCTCCTTAGTGAGCTGAAAATCTTCGGTTGGCATTTTCATAATGTTTAGCATGGATCGTTTGAGTAACTCCACAGTCTGTCAAAAATACATAAAAAAACATTTTATTCAAATGTCAGGTAATCACTGATGGTTGACATGTTTGACAAATTATCTAGAGAAGTAAAATAGTCACCAGTTGTCCTGTGCGAGTTTGTATTCTATCCTCTGGTCTCCCTTCACGCAGACGCTATTGAACAAAAGGTTGACAATAGTAAAAGACCAAACTGTAATGTGTAATCGTAGAAACACTTGAACCTATACTACAGTGTTTCAGCATACTCTTAACTCTTCAGCAAACATCTCTTTGTTCTCTGGTGATGGATACACTGCCAGACCCTTCGGCAGCAGTTTGTTCCGTCCCAATGATTTTTTCACCACCACAGTGTCACCTCGTCCACCGATCTCTGACAGAACAAAATTAAGTGGAGAGAAAGTAAGAGTTTCAGCATTCACATATTTGACAGTGTTTTTTTTTTGTTTGTTTGTTTGTTTGTTTTTTTATAGTCGAAAAATCTGAATACTTTGCACAAAGGTCCTGATGTAAGTGATTAAAGTTGTACTTACTTGGTACTGTCTGGGTAAGCATGAGCTCCATCTTGTTTTCTGGAGCTTGTTGGATTTTCTCAACCACTTTATAGATTCTGTGTCTGCGAGGGTGAAGCCTTGGCTCACGGTCTTTTTTGGCCAAGTTGACCTTCCACATTCGCTCCACCACCACTGTATTCTGTAGGAATACCAAACTACTGGTCATGCATGAAAAACGTTGTGCAAATTAACTTTCATTTAACTACAGAAACGTTCAAACTATATATTATTAATTGTAGTTATAATAAAAAATAAAAATAAAGCCCATGTCTAAACGTGGTGATCCAATGGTACTGGTGCTAAGGATGCTGCTTCATGTACACATTATACATAGTACAAAAAAAAAAAAGCAAAAACACAAATGCAATTGATTCGAATGGATCATAAAGGATACCACTGTCACATTTGAAGGCGAGCAAAGACACTGACCTGAGCAGGAGTCCGGGAGAAACTCCTGCCGCTGACAGCAGCAGTCTGACAGAGAAGCTCCTGAAGGACGAGTCGGCCTGAGCTCCACATGTTCACACGTTATCTCCGCACCTTCACTAAAGCCGTTTTACCATTAGTTAAAATAGAACTAGGTCTTTGCGGTTAAGTGTGAACAATAAAAACAATTATATTTCTTCCACAAACAGAAGTTAGACAGAGGCACGCAAGCTCGTTCGCTAATGCTAATGTTAAGCAGCACCACTTACGTGACGTCACAGGACCGCGACAACATCAATTGTGGTCTGTGATGTGCCTGACATAATAACGTTGTTAAAATCAGAATTTAGGGGGAAATAACTTGTTAAAACTAATTATTTTCAAAGCGAATACTGTAGTAAGACAAAATATATATTTCGTAAAATAAACTGGCGGTATTTGAAAAAATGTATTTTTGTCTCTGTTATTAAAACCCCAGACCATTTTATTTTTTTATTTCTATTTCATACATTCACAATTAAAGGTCGAAGTGGAATTCATAGTTATTATACAGAGAATTAATTCACATCTATTTCCTTACATCAACAGTGTCTGCCCAACAACAGAAAACCACACAGAATATTTATGCCAGAAACTGACTACATTGTTTTGAGATGTTTGATTCCAGCTCTACACTGACTATTGATTTCTTGTTTATCCAGCTGTCATTATTATACAATAATTTGAGTAATTTTTTTTCAATTGCTCCCAACTTAAATCACCTTTTCTTCACCCCAAAATACATCTGATTTTTAAAATGGTTTTGTTCCAAAAGTTGATTAGTCACATAACAACACAAAGAATGTGATGATTTAATAAAAAAGAACAAAATTAAAATTACAACGACCTTTTTAAACTTTTTTTTTTAACAAAGAATGTGATGATTTAATAAAAAAGAACAAAATTCATGAAGGTCGATTCCAATTATTTTTATCTAAACATACAGTACTGTACACTGCTTTCACATATATGACAGTACAACAGTATTTTAAAGTCTAACTTGATGAGTTTTCATTTCCCACCTGTTTTATTGATCTGATTCTTTTCATTTCCACTGTTTTCTCTTCCTTTAAATGTCTAGAGTGGGATGACGACTTTTGTGTGATTACACTGGCACAAAACTTTACAGAAATCTCAAGTTAAAAAAAGATATGCATAAACAGCTTAATCAGCAGCATCCTTAGTAATGCTGCCGGGTGCTGCCAAGACATTAACACTTGTTGAAATCATATGTCACCAGCAGCAGGTCCTTCAAAGCTGGTGGAACCATAGAAACTATTACGGCTGGCTGTCAGTTGCTGCCTCACACTGAAAATGTTACAGCAGGTCAAGATAGAGAAGCAGCAGCCACAGACAATGACTAGACCCAGAATGATCCATGTGACGGTGAGGACAACAAAGGCAAACTGGTAGGTTGTCCTGTCACAGTACTTAGCTTCTCCTGGTGTGTAGCTGGGAGGGTAAACAGAGTAGACCCAGATGTTGCCTACAGGGTATAGACAGTACATGTTAATTCAGGTTTTCTTTAAGTGTAGTTGGTTTATATGTACTGGCTGCACATATGATGAAAATGAAAAAGGCTCATATGAAACCATGGCTGGGACACAATTAAAACTGTTTTAACCATTTATCAAGGGCTAAACCAATAAATCCTTCTTTACTCTAAACAAAAATGTGAATTAATGTTTCTGTTAGAATTGTATAAATAATCACATACGCTCTTTATTAAAGAAAGAGGGTTGGGGGCTTACAAGAACACTGTCTTACAAGAACACTGGGAAAATATTGCACTGGAAAATATAAATAATATTTAACAACAAATTTAACTCCCACCTGTGATGAACCAGCAGAAACCAAAGAGATGCAACAGACTTGTAATTGTTGTCATGACTATGGAGACAATGCCGTCTTTCCAGGTGCTTTTGGAGTAGGTCAGAAAAAGAGAGAGGAGGTTGGAGGCTCCAAACACTATTAGGAAGATGGGGACGTACTGCTGCACAGGACAGAGGTTCAGATGTGTGGCTCCTGAGTCGCATAACAATGAGAAAATTCATATTCTGACCAAAAAGGCTAGAGACATTGTAAAAAAAAAAGGTTACTGACCTAATGCAATGGCAGCAAACATAACAATCCACCACATGACACCGGCTATAACTGTTTAAAAAAAGGAGAAGGAATGACGGTAAAGTTTAAACAGATAAGACAGATTTCAAGAGGAAGAGACTGATGGAACAACGTTCTAACCTGTTGCTGTAATCAGCAAAGTGCCCTGGCGCCCAGATTCCTCTTCTGAAGACGGGTCCATGTCACCTGAAGAGACACAGAGGAACAAAAAGCCATAGGACATGGAGAGGACGGGCATCAGCAGCAGTGTTTGACCGTACCTGTGGAGCTGTGAGCAGAAACCCTTCTAAACCAACCTTTCTTTTTCTCCCAGTGTTCACTGAATGCAGCGTCGTTTAAATACACAAGTGGAAGTTTGTTACTTCTTGACAAAGTTGACACTCGGCAGGAAGTGGAGACATAATGTTAAAACCAAGTGTTTCATCAGCACTTTTGCAAGATTCACTGCCCCTGATGGAGGAAATGATGATAAAATCAGTTAACTGTTTCCTGAGTCAACCATTCTGAATGTGTTAGGTAAAATCCTTATATATCTTTATATATTTACACAGTAGATGTGTATTCTAATTTCTTTCTTTTGGACATTTTATATTACAACAAATACATCTTGGCATGTTTGCCGTGTCTGCTAATTACAAGTGACTTTGTGTCATGGTGCACGGCTGAACAAAAATGTCCCAACAATTACATGTAATAAAATACTGTATAATGATCTTGTAGTTTCAATTCAGTAGTTTGTTTTTAAAGTCATTTGCTGCCACCTAGTGGAGGTGTATTTCACCAACCTGACTATCACCGTCTTGTTGACAAATGAAGACAAATGATTATCACTTTTCACTATCCTTGTTTATTGAAATTGACTTGTTTCTTAATATCAAATTATTTCTTCCCATCCTGTTGTTCAGTAAACAAAAGGCACCTCCTTGTTAAAATTCAAATTAAAAGCCATTCTTTTCTTCTCGACTTCTCTCAGTTGGAAGTCAATGATCATTTGAATCATGGGAGCACCAGGGAAGTCCATGCATATGATTCCAAGGCGCTGGTTCTGGTCCGTCTTGGCTCTCAGGTAGTCGTACAGCTGTAAGTTGATGCGCAGAGCCACGAGTCGGGGGTAGGCAAACAGCCCCGCTCCACTGCTGAAGGTGAGAAAGATCCGGTCCATGTTTCCTGTCGGTGCAGCTTCCAGGTGTTTGTAGACACTCTGCCACTTCTCCTCCGCGTGTGCCATTGTGGGAACCTACAAAGAATAAAACCTGTTTGAGGACTGGATAGCTGGCAACCAGGAATACTACATGTACATGTAAATGTGTAGTTCTTTTGCTTTTATGAAATTTTAAACCTGCACTACATGACACCTGATGATTTTAATTTGTGATGACGTTATTTCCAGCATTTATCTGTTTTTTCTATTTAAGAATTGTAGATTTGGGCATATTCAGTTAATTATAAGACACTAAAAGTTGACTTACCTTCCAGTGGTCTGCAATGTCCATGGAATTGTAGCGCATTCCCAAATCTGGCCCAGGGAAGTCTTGCATGATGATAAGTTTTCCTCGGGACTCTCCCATGGTTGGTACCATCCGGCTGTGCCACAGCAGGTCCCAGTGAGCGTAACGGTGGATGTAGTCGACCACAGCACCGTAGATGTTATATGTCTCACTGAACTCTTCTTTAACTCTCATCAGCACAGTCTCACTGGGATACTCTCTCAGGAAGTCAGCTATGCCTTCCAGCACTTGGCCAAAGTGTGCCCTCTGGTACGAAACCCCATGATGGATTGTCAAGTTCCCGTTGACGTGGCGGACTCGAACATCCAGAAAGCGAATGCCTGCTTTTAGCTGGAGTTCCAGGCTCCAGGTCTGACATTCAGCATACACACCACCGTACAGGGCCATTGTGTTGTGGGTACCAGGCATAGTAACCTCAGACAGCAGCTGACCATCAGGGATACTGGCCATCCAGGACGGGTTGAGGAACTCTGGGTTTTCTGTGTCGTCATAATCGGGTCTCTGGATGGCACCACAACTCAAGCCAACCACTCTAAAATGTAATGTGATGATTCATTCAAGTTAGAAAAAAGAAATCACAGTATAAAAAATGAGCCATAAAATAAAGACAAAAAAGCCAAAAAATCTATCAATAAGGTCAAAAGGTTACATAAATAATAAAAAATAGCTGTAAGCTAATATAAAAGCAAAGCAAAGTTGAAATTAGGACAAGAAACAAAAAAATATAAATTAAATTCACACTAAAAGTAAAACTCACTTGACAGTATTTGTGTACTGTTATGTTTTCATCAGTGACAGGACATGTAACCACTAACCCGAGCAGCACCAACAGGTGAGCAAACATTTCCTCTGTTTTCAGTGTCGTCCTCAGATGTCTCGCCTGCTGTTTTCGCAGCCCTAAAAGCAGCAAGTGAGAAGAAAGAAAAAAAATGTATTCAAGTCTTAGGTGTCCATTAGTAAAGAGAAAAAACAAGCAGTTACAAATATTTCCACAACAAAGTACAACATCAACAACAAGAGGAAATCATCTCGTCCCTGTTTCATACCTGAACCCTGTCGGTGTTCACCACACTGGTCCTGGTGCCTGTATATGAGGGAGAGCAGGATCAGGGAATGACAGAGTCAGTGTGTCCACTGGGGTTGTTATTGTGGTGATGACCATAGAGGAGCTGAGCTCTGTGTTAGCACGCTGGGGTGCAGGCAGAGGGGTGTGTTGGTGTGTGTGTGTGTTTCATCTGTTCATGTCCCCTATTTATGACAGGCCACACATATGTGGCGTCACTGAATGGCTTTCTATATCGTCCAAAAAGAGGAGAAATACAGGAGAAAAAGAGTCATTTAGAGGATAAATATTTACCATGGTGTGAACTGACTTTGACAGTGAATCTCACAGCGCTGTTTGAACTACAGCTGTGCAACTTCACACAGTGTTTTTATCAGCCCAAATGAGACATGTTGTTGATAAAGTTTCCATTGATGTATTTGTGTTGTTTTAATTTTAACACATTTAAAAAATCCAACCACAACTTGGCAAAATTTGACAAAATAATAAAACACACATGTAACAAATGGAGGAACAAATACAAGTTTTATGTCAACATTAGGATAAATAGAATAGAATAGAATAGAATAGAATAGAATAGAATAGAATAGAATAGAATAGAATAGAATAGAATAGAATAGAATAGAATAGAATAGAATAGAATAGAATAGAATAGAATAGAATAGAATAGAATAGAATAGAATAGAATAGAATAGAATAGAATAGAATAGAATAGAATAGAATAGAATAGAATAGAATAGAATAGAATAGAATAGAATAGAATAGAATAGAATAGAATAGAATAGAATAAATCAATAGTCTTGGCTTAATTAACTGACTCCTTGTATGCAGAGATCAGGGATTTTTTCTGGGTTCTCTTATGTGTGTGTGTGTCCTTGGAACACACTGCAGATGTTTACCCAATTGTCTTTATAAAACTATGTGGAAAATCAAACATTTCACCACAGGCCTGTCCTTGTGTTGATAAATTATATTTGATTAGCTGCAAACATCGATTTTATACCCAGGGTGTGTAAAAGTATTTAAAAAAATTGTTCGTGAAGTGAATCCAAATAAAACTTGAAACATGCACTTTCAAAAAAAAAAAAAAAATTAAGAGGCTTATAGATATATAACTTTATCTCTGCTGGTGTATTTTGTCTTGTACTTTCAGGAAGAAAGTGAGACAGCTGAGCACACTGCACAGTATGTACTGCCCTTTAATGCTCACAAATACATTGACATTGAATTTGAAATACATCGCATGTGAAGTTTAAATATTCTCTTCATTAAAAAATAATCAGGTGGTTTGTCCCAACTTTTTTGGAGTATGATGAAGGGCATCACTAGGGTTGCCACACGCTTCCTAAATATGAAATAATCCTTTATCAACACTAAATCTTACAATAATGATAAAAATAACACACACAGAATGTTTAGGCCAGCCAAATTGTCGGTGCAGGCCATTCACGGTCTATGTAGTTAGCACAGATTTGTTTTTTCTTTTTTTTTTGTAGGGTAGAAAAAATGTCCGGGGCAACGACCAACTGGACGGCTTTTCCATTTTTGTTTCATCCTATTTTTTAAAATGTCAATATAAATAAAGTACATTAAATTTAGCATAATTGGCCTATTGTTCCCTCACTCTTCTTCTATAACTAAGGTCCAAGGAATTTAAAAAACAGGAAGTGTTAATCTGTGTTAATCATGGAACTATATGCCCAGACACTGACAAGCAACTGTTCCTCTTTCACTCAAGTTTCGGATCAGGAATGTTGTGAACAAATGTAACCCTTGACTGTGGTTCACAAGGTGCTGGAACCTCAAGTGAAACTAACATCATGCTTCCTGTCTGTCGTTTGACATCTCTGTTCTGGCTTTCTGGTTGGAGCTGCACTGCGCTGGAAAGAAATGCCTTCCACCAATCAGCGCAGGGCATGCGCGAGTCACTTCCTGGTGTTGACGTCCTTATTTAGCTTGAAGGGGCGGTGCGTTTTGTGACCGAAAGAAGGAAACGGTAGCAAGGGAAGACGGACGACTGTTGTAGTCGGAGGGAAAACAACAGTTTGATCTCTGGTGAGTAGAAAACGGCACTTTCTCTGCTCTGTATCTGATCTGTTCGTATGGAAAACCTTAACGTTGGTAAGTGAAGATGAAATGTGTTGTAGTTGAATGATTGATTATTTATGTGGTACAGAGAGAATCCAGAAAATGACACAAATAAGATGGAAACAATGTTAGCAGCAGAGCCTGAGGGGCTTTTAAAAGTGGACAACACCTAGTTGAAACTATGTTAAATGTAAAAAAACGTGTATTTCCAGTCCTTTTTGTGTATTACTAGGAACGAAGACACACCCACTGTTTCAGTGGCGAGAGGGATGATTAATGTCACTATGTCAACTATGACAACCATTTATTATATTTGGATTTGGTTTCAAGGAAACTTGAGGAAATATTTTCATATTTTTCTCACGTTATACAGTTCTACGAATCTACTAATATATTATATTATACTATTAATGGTGTAAAATTCACATGGACACCATAAAGTACATAAGACATTGTTCTTGTATCAAAAGTATTTCAATTTTGGCCCCTAGTGGGGCAGAAAATAACTGAGAAACACTATTTTAACCTGTCACCTGAGTGAACAGGCAACACTTAACTTCCACCACTGCCTCGCCATATCAGTATGGGTTGATATCAGAATCGGTAATTTGTTTGGACAATATCGGCATATCGGATATCAAAAAATCAGTATATCGGTCATCCCTAGAAAATATTTTTGTTTTTATCATTTTACCAGCCTGTGCTTCTTTCACTGTTAACATGTTGCAGTCGTGTGTAACACAAGCCCCTCATTGTTTGACCTGTTGCTAGAAACATTGGTGTAAGAGGACACCTGAAAAATATGTCCACATGCAGCAGCTGCTGGCATGTGGGCTACATGGAGATTACCCAACTATAGAACTTCCTCAGTCATTTTAATAGGCCACTAGGAGTGCATGGTGATGTGTTCATGCAGTGCAAAGCCCTTGGAAAGGCTGGTCCAGTGGTAGGATTCCTGCCTGCTATGCAAAACGACTACTACACCTAGTACCAACTGTTAAAGCAGTCTGTATCGAAGAGTATAGGTGTATAAGTAACTAAGTTAAATGTTTGTATGAACAATAAGAAGAATTCATGCATGGTACAACTTTTAGGTGATTCTTTAAAAAAGAAAAGAAAAAGAAAAGAAAACCTATCTGACAAAGGTATAACATATGCATTGTTTGTTTTTACTGTCTACATGTTATAATTGACCATGTTCTTTTTGTTCTGTCAACTTTGTTTAGAACTTATATAGCAGAAGAATAACAGGTGTGATGGCTGATGCAGCCAAGATCAAGGCAACTGCAGCCAAGGTGCTGTGCTGTGTGGAGAAGGTGTCATCTTTTGCATCCTCCATCGACCCCCTTTTCGGCATTGTCTCCTCTCTGGTGGGTGTAGCTCGCAAAGGCCTGCTTGATGAGGAAGGCCACCCTATGGACAAGGACTTCCAAGCCGTCCATACAAAGCTGGAGAGCATCTCACATAAGAACCAAATGTGCTTGAGGAAAATCCGCATCGACGAGGTGATTGAGACCTACGGCAGGTATGAGGAGTGCATCAAGCACCAGTACGCCGCCTTTAACGACATGGTGGCCAAGGTGAAGAAAGATCCAGACCAAACTCAACACTACATGGACACCTTTGAGAAGATATATGAAAGGGACAAGAGTGAAATGAGCCTGGATGTGTACTACCGTGGTGTAATGGGAATAAACACACTCTTTGGAAGACCTCTACTCAAAGTGTACCTGGACAACTGTGATGGTGACCGGGAGATCATGGAACATCGCTGTTCACACATTGCCCACCTCTTTCACATGGGACTCATCGCACTCATGGCCTACACAGCTGTCACAGAGGACGATGAAGACGAGGTGAGAGAGAAGTGGTCTAAGAGAGTGGAGGACATCCAGCAGAAGATGCAGGAGGTGCTCAGTCAATGCAAAGACAAGAAGACATGAGCATAGACCAGACTGAAATAGGACCAAATATATTATGAATATATAAACGTAAATATGTAACAAAATGTTTTGTTTTTATCATTTGAGTTGCATCAGATTTTCTTATTCCAGTAGTTGAAGTTGTTATATACTAACTGCATGTTTTATATGTGCCAAAGAAATTACAGTTTCAGTTGCTAACAGACAAATACATGCTGTTTTTTTACCTTCAGTCCAAATAAATCAAATTGTACACTTTGTGCGAAAATCTATCAATATTAAAGCCACAAATGAATAATGTTCTCGCTAGTGTTTTCTTCTTTTCTCTTTGAAAAAACAGAATTGTACATTTCCCAAGATAACCCTGTCCTATAATAATGCTGATAAAACATTGTAAGGGTGCTGATCATGTTTGGTCTTAAATTAACATTTATCCTAAATGTTTCTGAAGAAAACTTCTGAAAAACCCGAAATGCACACAGGACTAATAGGTGGACTTAAAAAAGAGAAATCAAGCAAACCTTTTGATAAACAGTTTGTCGTGGTCACATAGTGCTAACCAATTTATGACCATGCGTGACGCAGTGGTTTCTAGTATAATTTTTTAATGACTGTAAACGTAGGTACTGTAAGTGGTACAGTAGTATATTTAGTCATTGCTGCACAGGCTGTACTAAGACCTCCTCACCGACAGGGGCCTCTGTTTTGCTGCTGCAGTCGCAGTGCTAAAACGTAATGCGACTCCGCCGCTTGTTTGAGCAGCCCTGCCCTAAAATAAAGGCCCGTCGCCGCTTCATCACCCACGGACCTGCTCTGGAAGTTTCCCCGGAGCATAGTCCAGTACAGGATCGTTGACTTTACTACGGTTAACGTTGTGTGAGAATAGGGAAATGCTGTTTAAAGATACGTCACGTCGCATTCGGTAAGTGTAAACGGAAATGCAGTGATGGGTTAACAGCATCCCAAATACAGCCGGTTATTTACATCTTAAAGTTAACTTGTCGACAACTTTAATGTTATTGCACTTTTAAAGCACAACTTCGTCTTTAACGTAAAGCACATTTGATTTAGGTATACCTTTAATAGTTTAACAGTTTTACGACAACTGAGTCGGGTTTCCGGGGCGAGACCTTACTCCGAATTCAACAAGTCGGTTCCGAGTATGTTTTTTTTTTTTTAATTACGCATTAGCTTATTTTAATTATTTGTTATATGCTTAAATGAGCTTCTTATATTCTCACATATATTATATTAACCTTTTTAATTATGAATGTATTAAAGTTTACCCGAGCTGGTAACAAACTTAGCATTACCATTGCATTAATACATAACGCAATATATTGTTTTTATGTAAATGTTGGTGTTGAAAATGTCATTGTTGCCAATTGCAAAACAAAAGAAAACATTCAGTGTTATTTTAGAATGGATTAATGCTGTTTCTTAATTATTATTTTTTTTAGATTACTACATTTGTTATGTTGACATTTTCTACTCATCCTCAGTGACAGGCACGCCTCTGCACAGCCTCTGGTCTTATTCTAGGATGTTCAGTCAGACCAAGGACTGAGAAAGTTTGGCACAATGGGCAACGAGGATTGCCTTGAAGATGTATTTATTGCAGTCATTCGTCCAAAGAGTCAAGTCAGCCTAAGCTCCAAGGAGTATAGAGCCAAAGCCTATGAGGTAAACTGTCTAAATAGTAACAACAAGAACAATATGTATTGTTGTTTTTTTGGTAACATTGTTTTCTCCATGGTTCCTGTAAAGATCCTGTTGATTGAAGTGCCTTTGGAAGGGAAGGAGAAGAAAAAGAAGAAAGTCCTTCTGGCAACAAAGATACAAGCAGGAGGAGACAAATCTAAATCCATATTGGATTATGTTGATGAAAGAATCCGACCAATATCTAATAACCAAGGCTTCATAGGTAAGTTTTAGTAGAACTTCAGTCAGCTGTTGAGGATTTAAAAAGACTGTACTGAGTGTTGCTCGGTTTGCAGGAAAGCGTGTCGTTCACATGAAGAAGTTTCCTCTTGATGGGGACAATGAAGGGAAAGGGGCCTCACTTTTTGTTGTACCAGTCAGTGTTAAAGGTGAGTGAATTACACAAAAAGATTATTTCCTATTTGAACGGACAACATAGGCAGTTGGTTTCAACTGTATGTGCTTTTGATCATGTCTAAACAGATAACAGCAAGCCGGTGTACAACGCTGGGAGCCCCAGCTTCTACTGTTTCCAGGACATCATGCGAGTATGCAGTGAAACTAGTACTCACTTCTGCTCCATAACCTCCAAGATGCTCCTCTCCTTAGACAAGTAAGAATATTTCTGAAAAACATAATGTTTTTTTGCTTCACTGAATCAGACTAACTTTACCTTTGCTTCCTTGTTCTCCACAGATGGTTAGCAGAACAGCACACCATACCTCACGCCATCCCTGCTCTGTTCAGGCCAGCACCCGTAGAGCGGGTGAAGACTAATGTCAGTAATCCAGCCTACAGCAACGAGGGTAAGCTCAGTGATGAGGGTCTGCATATGGGCTACACTGCCCTGGAGATCAAAAGCAAGATGATGTCCCTGGAGAAGGCAGACATGTGCATCCTCAACCCCCTGTATGGTTCTGATCTGCAGTACACCAACAGGGTGAGAAGCTCAGTCTCTGAAGAGAGGGTGTCTAGAAAAACATTAGAATATAATTAGGATTTCCATGTGGTGAAAGTTACTTGAAAACTATTGGGTGAATATACTGGGATTTGTTCATTTTTTAAATTTGAATAACTATATTGTTTTATGCACAGGTGGACAAAGTCATCATCAACCCATACTTTGGGCTGGGAGCTCCAGACTACTCCAAGATCCAGATACCCAAGAGGGAAAAATGGCAGCATGGCCCCAACTGTGTGACAGAAGACAAGTAAGAAATGGTTCCCTTTCATTAATCATATCACTGACAACTTTGCCTTATTTGAACGTGTTGAACACGGTTTCAAGGATGCTATAATTGTATTAATTCAGTGGACACTAAAAAAACTCACACGCAATTCAGTCTTGATAATAATCTCTAAAAAAACCCTTAATATTCCATTACGCATTTGTCATGAAAAACGTAGTTTGTCACACAAAATCGAAATGTAAGGATTTTAAGTATTACCTGCTTAAAGCACATATCGATGTACTACTATCATCCAATCTTACCCATTATTTCTGTTAAAACAAATGGATTTGATCGGGGTCTATATTCAGGGAACGGCAGTGGGTGGATGACTTCCCTCTGCACCGCAGCGCCTGTGAAGGAGACACAGAGCTGCTCTCCAAGCTTTTGGACAGTGGCTTCTCAGTCAAACAGCTGGACAGTGACCACTGGGCACCCATTCACTATGCATGCTGGTGAGTTGGACTAACCATGAAAGTCTGCAGCCATCTGTTGTATTCTGCTTTGTTGTCAACGAGCTGCATTTCTTTTTTCCTTTTGATTAAAGGTACGGCAAAGTGGAGGCAACCAAGC